GTGTCTTGTAATCTGCTCCTGGTTGGACTCCACCTTTTCCCTGCCCTAGAACAATACCCAAGATACATTGATTGGGAGTAACTATGGATAACAGCAGGAACGCTTGAGCCAAGGACTGTTTACATGTCCTTTGAACAACCAGTTCTCCTGCTCCACCATCAGAGCCAAAACTCCCTCCCTCCATTCCCCTCTTTCTCCAGCCCTCAGAGGCGGTCCACATTCCTAGTTTAGGCAATGCATTCTTGCTGCCCTGACACATACCACCAGAGTGGGCCAGGCAGGCTCTTGAGACAGCCAAGCTACCCACCCAACACTTGGCTTTGGCTGAGGGCATCAAGCCAGGCCATAGCGTCATAGCAGCTAAGGTCCCTTGATAAGCCACATCAGCTCAACTCTTTAAAATTGATCATGGCATTGCTGATGGAGCTGATGAGAGTTACATCAGACTATCCCTCCAAAGCCCAGATTGAATGACTATTAATTATGATAGGCCTGGCAGTTAACACGCCCCTCACTGTGGAGGCCGCTGCTAGATCCACATCTGGAATGGGTTTCAGGGAGGGAAGGGTTGCTGATTACAGGATGAGCCATAACATAATCAGAACTTCTGGGCATGAAAAGATCTCTAAGGCAGCGTTTGGGTTCAGTTTCATCACTACTAAGTCACCACTGATCCTAGACGATTTTTGAACCAATATCTAATGTCAATGCCTTCTATGAATAGGATTCATTTATTTATTCATCTATTTCTTTAAAAGGTATATTTAGCACCTTGTATGTCATATACTGTGCTAGACATGCAGGATAATGAGATGAATATGACATGTTTCTTGCCTTCAAAGAGCTCTGTAAAGGGTGATGCATAGGATTTTTTCTTGAGAAGACAGGGCTGAAAGACCACTATATGAACCTTCTAAAGTCAGTAACTACCAAAAATGTCATGACTAGCTAAGATAAGCATCCATCTGCAGGGACTGTGATGAGGATGTTGGTGGGTATATTGCTTTTATATTCTGGTTACTTATTATAATCTTAATAACCAAATTTGTGTACTCATGATATACCAGAAATAGTTCTAAATGCTCCACATGCATTATCTAATACTAACAAACCTGAGTGACATATGCTGTCATTCTCCTATTTTCACCCTGACTTTACAAATGCAGAAACTGAGGCTTAGATTGATTTATGTACCTTTTTCCTCAGAAAGACTTCCAGGGGCCCCAGGTGAAAATTGCAGAGCTAGTTTGAGCCTCTTGCTTTATGAAGTTTGTTCATTCATCTCTGTATCTCTTCCATCAGTGGCTACATTTCTCTGCCAAATGGTGAACACAAAACCACAGAACCTAAATTGTGAGGTCATTTATTCATTCAACAAATATCTATTTTTGAATTCCCATGTGGTAAGAATATAATGATGAAACAAACATAGGTTCTGCCCCCAGAATACTTTCAACCTGGTAGGGTAGATAAGAAATGAAAGGAAATAAGACAGAAAACAGATCACAGGTGCTGAACTTAATGGGCTGCAGGATGCCAGCCTGATTTCCAGGCTGACATTGGCCCTTTGGTGTCCCTGTCTGAAGCTCCTGAAGCTAGACCCCTGGGCTGCAGGCCCTTAGTATGACCCACACCTTGGAGGTGCACCCTCATGCAGCCCAACCTCATCCTCCAGTACCCATATCATCCACTTCATGGACAAGACAACACCAAAAATTTACTTGGTGTAGCTCAGTGGAACTAAAACTGTCGAGAAAAAACAGTCAAAGGGAGAGGCAAGGAAAAGTACAGGCACCTGAAGAACAACTGCTTGGAACTCAAAAACAATCACCGAGAAGAGAAACACAGGAAAGAACTTAACCTGGATGGCCACAAATTCAGCAATAAGGAATTGAAAAATAAATATGGTGCAAACATACAGGTCTCTCCAACATGAGAGCTTCAGAGCTCCTGGCTTGGGATCACCCTAATTTAGGTATCTCAAAGAAACATTAAAGATTGTCAAGTTTTGGTGCCAGTGTTCTTCATCCCTCTGTGGCATTCCTCTGCTGGGTTGCATTTAGCACTCAGTACTCTTGTGATAAGTCTGTGTCCCTAGACAATGTGTATGTGAGTTCTGTGCTTACTCTGGTTGCAGGGATCTTTGCTTATTACCAAGAGGTGAAAAACACCAATATCATGGCCACCTATAGTAAAATTATTCTTCAGCAAGCTCTTGTTGTCTGAGATGCAGAGAAGGATGCAACTTCTGCATAATAGTTGGTAATCAGGACATAGTGGAGATTAAAGGATAGGACTAAATTCCTACAGATATCAGGTTGCTGGCTTTTCAGGGAGGTAGGGTAGATAACTCATCTATCAATGGGATGTCCAAGCCCTAGTCCTGCTCGTGTGACTTGTCTCATGACAATCCCCTGGAAAAAAAAAATACTGTCTTCTATTCCACAACCTGTTTAGAAGGCACAGCAACTGGCACAGTTGCCAACACAGGCAATGGCACCATCATTGGACAAATGGCCTCACTGATTTCAGAAGCTGGAAATGAGAAGACACCCATTGCCAGTGAGATCGAGCACCTTGCTTGCATTGTGGCAGGAATTCATAGGCATCCTTTTCTTTATCATCAGTGTCCACGAAGTATCATGCATTAAACCCCTCCATCTTCCTCACTGGCATCACGTGGCCAATGTACCTAAGGGCCTCCTTATCACTGTCACTGTCACTCTGTTACTGACAGAAAATGGATGGCCAAGTAGAAATGCTCGTGAAGAACCTGGAAGTGCTGAAGACCCTCAGTTTCACCTCATCATTTGCACTGACAAGACTGGCACCCTGACCCACAACAGGATCCATCCACGGTGTAACAGATTAATGTGGCTGACACACGTGAAGAACAGTCAACCCAAGTCTTTGTCCAAGGCCCTGGAATCTGGGACTCCTTATTCATGATAATAATATTGCATAACCATGTTGAGTTCAAACCAGGATAGGAAAGTCTTCTCAACATGGAGAAAGTTGTGGTTGAAGATGCCCCAGAAACTGCCTTTGGAAATTCTCAGCAGTCATTTTGGGTGATGTCATGGAAATTAGAAAATGAAACTGCAAAGTAGCCAGGCTGAAATCCCTTTTGACTCTACCAACAAATTTCAGCTCCTCATACACGAGCTGATGATCCCAATAATAAATGCTTTATCATGGTGATGAAGGTTCCCTGGAGACCTCAGAGAAGTGCAGCCGAAGGACTATGTCAGGAATAGCTGAGTGAGCTCTTAACGATCCTCTCAGAAGCCATCTTTGCTCAGACCTCTGCCCAACAGAAATTGGGTGAGCTGTCAGAGACAGGATGCTTTAACAGAGAATGGAGTCAATGCTTTAAAAAAGTAGATATCAGGATTGCCACGAGAAAAGTAGGTCTTGATGTAGCTAAAAATTCAGGATACACAGCCTTAATGAACAACAGTGTGACAACTCTGCATCTACAAGATGGAGGAAGGTTACCTAATCTTTGACAACATACAGATTACTGCTTACACTTCAAGAACCCATTGCTGGGTTTTCAAATCTACTTATTGTTGGCCTCACCCTGCCCAGTGACACCATTACCATCTTGGTTCATAACCTGGGCACGGACATAATTCCCTCATTGCCTCAGCTTATAAGAAAGCTGAAAGTGACCTTATGAACCAGTGTGCCACAAGAAGGACAGACTGGTGAACAAGCCACTTGCCACGTACTCCCCTTTCACATTGGCTTCACATGAGGCCTGGGAGCTTTTGTTGTATATCTTGCCATTTATGCCCAGGAAGAGTTTAGACCCAGTGCTCTCGTTAACCTCTGGGTCAAATGGGAAGAGAACAGCATGAATGACTAGGAAGACAGTATGGACAAGAATGGGCAAGATGCCAGAGGAGATACCAAAAAAGGACAGACTATCCAGCCACCCTCAGTGGCATTCTGATGCAGCAAATTGTCTAATTGGGCATCAGAAAAACTCAAGCAATCTTATCTTCCAGCAAGGTCTTTTCAGAAATAAAGCCATCGAGGTAGAGACTGACTTACAGGTTATCATAGCATTAATGCTCTCCCACTGGGAATGTGAAAGCCCTGAATTTCACTATGCTCACAATTGGTTTGTAGAAATGCCACACGACACTCTTATTTGGGTGTATAATGACATGAAAACTTTCCATCAGGCTTTACGGTGGAAGCTGTTGTGATAATGTATCACTAAGACCATCTTTTTTCCCAAGTCCCCCAAATTCACATTGGTAAAGATTTTCATCTTTTGGTTGCTAGCTACAAGATCTCTTGTGCAAAAAGGACATCATCAAAATTCATTCCAGGGGAAGACAAAAACTGTATGAAAGGTACTCAACTGATGTTTTGTACTTTACAGCTGAGGTTTGACTATTTACAACTTTTATGTCTATCTCCATCTCCTGTTTTAAAATATGTGAATTTCAAGTGATGATGTCCATGCATTCATAAGAGTCCATGACACTAAATAGCCTAGCGTAACCCAGTTATCTTCTGGGGTCCTCCTACACCTGAAGGTCTAGATAGGATTACTTAAACCTCCATTCTACATGCTATTGAAGGTACAGTTCCCTCCCCAAGGTTTCTATGAATTCCTGGGGAAATTGTTCACTTTGCTAAAAAATTCAGCTCAAAGTTTGTAGGAAATTAAAGTGGGGGCAGAGTCACATCATAAGAACATGGACAACCGCCACTTTGACTCTCAGATATTGCCATGGCACAATTTCCCTGGCCACATCACCCCTCACCCTAACCTACTGCCATCTCACCAGTCTTTTCTTGCATTTCCTCCTTCCATCTTCTCTTTTCTTCTCCCTCCCATATTGCCCTTCACACCTACCAGTAGAACTCCAACTTGGCTTTCTCCAACTCTTGTTCCAAGACTGAGCTCCAAGTCTACTTTGAGTATCCTAACTAAAGGTGCTCTACTAAACAAAAGGATCTTTGATTTACCACGAAGTCACTGTGGTTTGAAATAGTAACATTTATTTCTTGTAAAATATTTGCAAAGCATTTTTCAGCACAGATTTTATACTGATCATGTTTCATGCTCTTAACTTAGGTTTATTCCTTTGTGGAACACACATCTATGTTGACAGACCCAGGAAAGCCTCATTTTAAAGTAAAAGACATTTTATAAAACAAACAAACAAACCCTAAAGACACAAAATGTTAAATGACATTTAAGGTCCCTTAAATGTCAGAGTTATGGTTAATGCTAAGGTTCAGGGATCAGAATATCTCTAAATGACTTCTAATGCATCTTCTCAATTCTAATTTCCCATCATTCTAGATCATGTACCATGATGCCCAATTAGGAGCACAGAAGAGACATGGAGCAGGTGCACCTAGACCAATCCATCTGAACTAGACTTGCAAAGATAAGGAAGACAAGATTTAAAGAAAAGTTTAATTGATTTCATTTTCCTTTGAATGAATCTGTAGATTACAAGAAATCAATGTTGGGACTTCGCTGTTTCTGAGGCATTCTCAATTACCTTTTATCCTTTATTACTTGCAAAATTAAAAGATTCTACTGCAAAGGTCTATCCTTCTGTCTTTCTTTCCTTTGAACAGTGTTGATTGAGGGCCTTCTCTGTTTTAGGCAGTATATTGCCACTGAAAATACATAAGACAAGTAAGATAGAGCCCCCCAAGGAAGGAGTTCAAGTTCAACAGGAGAAATAAACAAGGAAACAAGCATAACTCATGCTCAGACCTTCTCTTGCAGTTCCTGCAGCCCAGCCACAGGCTCTGGCCTCTCCTATTCTGATGCAGGTACAACACACAGCCCCTTCTCTGGCACGTTCACCCCAAGGCCATGCCCACAAACCATTCGGTTATTTTAATAACATATTAAGCCTTTCAGGAGTCAGGATCACCCCCCTCCCCAACCCTGCCAGTCTCTTCTACCTCTTGGCTGCCCCTCACTTCTTTTTTTCCTCTCCTTACTCCTCTTTCTCAGAAGCAACACAAATTTCCCTACTTATCCTACACATAGCAGTTCTGGGGGCATCTTTTATCACAGCCTTCAGCTGAGCATACCCTTGGGTGTCACCCTCCCCAACAGTGACTCAAAATCTTTTTTCAAAATAAATACAGGACCCTCCCTGAAAAGTTCTGGAGAGGAAGGGAAGTGGGCCTCCATCTGTGCTCAGACCACCGAGCTGCACTCAGAATGGGATGGGTCCTGTCCATTACAAGATAGAAGAGGCAGCCTGGGTGGGAAATAATAAAGAGAATTCTGGTGGCTGAAATGGATTTCTTGTTCTCAGCAAAACCATTCCAGAAATGTAGGGAGTTGGCCTGTGGGCTCGCCAATGTTTGGGTTATGTTTCAACCTTGCTTGAGCACCAGAACTGTGCACGGTTTGGTGCACAGTCCCATGTGCTTTGAGGAGGGCTGGGTACATTATGCTTCTCTGCTTTTGTTTTTGGGTTTTCCCCCCATGTGCCTGGGATGTTTCTTCCATTAAAACCAGGACTTTTCCTCCCTCTGGGCCTCCACACAGAATCCAGCCCAAGCCAATCAATACTCCTAGGACATGCTAAATCTATTTTAGTGCCAAAAATATAAATAATTTATTTGAAAAAATGCTGATAACTCCACAGAGAACTTTTTCATGGGCTGTGTCATTTCACTCCAAATTCCTTAATGAGAAGGGGGTCTCTTGCTCAGTGGTGACACGGCAATGCCAGGCTGTTTCTTTAGATACCTCTACCTAGAAAGAGAAGGCAGACCCCGAACATGAGGCAGGTTCTTCCTACAACGTGGTGTGGGAGTCTCCACTTCTCCCCCTCTGACATCCAGCTCTTCCTATGTCCTTCTTATACACAGGATCTGCATCTCAATTCAGAACTCCAGATGTGCTCTCGCCAACAGACAAGCATTCTTGCTAAGGTAACCTAAATAGAACATTCCAGAAAAACAGGATTATTTTCTTCAAAGAGGCCTATCATGTAAAAGACATATGAGATTTACCCAGTACTATGTCAGAAGAGAAGAATGAAAATAATAGAGGCTGCTAGAAGGCAAAAACATCGTCACTGTGTAAAAAAGGTTTTTAAACCAAAATTAGAATTGAGCTATTCTGAACACCTGAAGTTAGGTATTATCTCAGCTTTGGTCTCCTCAATATTGATTCATAGCATTGATTTGCATGGGGTGTTAGAATGTCCTGGAGAAATAACTTGATCCATGGCCAAACTTGGGGTTCAGACACAGAAACAAGCATGATTAATTTGAAGTGTGTAGGTAGAACATGCTAAAAGAAGCTCTATTTCAAGGGCAGCAGAAAAGGAGAATCTGCAGGAAAATACTGGAGTGCAGGACACAGCCCCAGACCTGGGCATCAAGGCTGAGAGCTGAAGTTCTGGGAGAAGCAAGGTGGTGGACTTGCTTTAATCTGCTCCAGTCCCAGGGACCCTAATGGCATGAGCATCCCATTGGAAGGAACAGACCTTGTGTATACATTAAAATAGCCATGATACCTACTCAAGCAATTCCTCAGAGAGGACCACAGAAGAGTAGCCTACCAGGAAAAGGAAACCATTTCTATCCTGGCTGGAAAAAATTGTCATCAAGTAGCTTGGAGCAGCAGGGAGTATGTCAGTTGTCTAGGGTGGAAAGGCCCTGGTACGAGATACAGAACAAGTGCAAGTTAATAGACAGAGCCTGGGACCCAGCCACTGGGACATCAGAACTACTGGCCCAGAAGACAACAGTGGCCCCAGCTCCAGCAGTGGCTTGGCAGATTCAGACATCCATGTGAGGTGGCCCTTACAGATTTTCACAGAGGAAGTGGGGATAGTCCTCTCATAACCATCATGACCATGAGGACCAAAATCCTGAAGCCACACAGAGGAAGGTCACTGATATGGTTTCACTATGTCCCCACTCAGATCTCACCTTGAATTGTAATTCCCATAATCCCCATATGTCAAGGGCAGGACCAGGTGGAGGCAACTGAATCACGAGGGTGGTTTCCCCCATGCTATTCTTGCGATAATGAGTGAGTATCACGAGATCTGATGGTTTTATAAGCTTCTAATATTTCCTCTGCTTACTCTCATTCTCTCTTCTGCCACCTGTGAAGAGGTGCCTTCCACCATGATTGTAACTTTCCTGAGGCCTCCCCAGCCATGCAGAACTGTGAGCCAATTTAACCTCTTTTCTTTATAAATTACCAAGTCTTGGGTGTTTCTTCGTAGCAGGGTGAAAATGGACTAATACAGTCACCAAACTATCAAGTTTTGTGTCTGCCTATTTTTAATATTTTCTAAGGTCGTAATTACCACAGAATAATTTCATACAGTAAAATGTACCCTTTTAGATATACAATTTGCTAATTCTCACAAGCTTGTACAGTTGTAAAATAACTCCTACAATCAAGATATAGAACATTTCCATCACCCCAAAAACATCCATTCATACCTCCTTGTATTCAAAAGCTCCCTTCATTCCCAGCCCCTGGCTACCACTAAGCTTCTTTGTAAGTATATGTATATATTTACAAAAATGTATGTGTGTATACACACACACACACACATATATGCATACACATACACACACACACACACATTTTGTCACTTCTTCCAGAATGTCATATAAATTAAATCAAAACCTATGTAGCCTTTTGACCTGAGTCTGGTTTCTTTCACTTTGATAAGGCATGTGAGATTTATCCACACTACTGCACATGTCAGTAGCATGTTCTTTTTCTTGCTGTACTAGTAGTACACAGTATAGACATACCACCATTTGTCCATTCACCAGTTGATGGACGTTTGGATTGTTTCCAATTTTTAATGATTATAAAGGTATTTGTATACAGGTTTTAATATGGACATATGTTGTCACTGGGCAAATATCTAGGAGTGGGACTGCTGGACCATATGGTAAGTATATTTTTAACTTTATAAGAAACAGCCAAACTGTTTTCCAAAGTGGCTAAACCATTTGGCATTCCCACTGTGTCTATTACAGTGGCCTCACTGGCACTCACAGGATCTCCATCTGAGAGTGCTGAAGTTCTATTTCTGTTGCTCCAGCACCCAGGAAGTCAGAAATGTCCAGAGATGGAATTTGAAGCCACTGGGAATAGTGATTTTCCTGTCCCTGTGGTTGTCCTAGGAGGGGCTGGGCAACTGCTAGTCAGGGATGTGATCAAGGACCAGACAGTTTGGCCTTCCAGATCTCTTTCAGATCTGTTTTCTCTGATGCTGTGAACACGAACGTCACCTTAGCTGGCAGTGTAGACCCCACCCTCCCACATTTCTCACCACTTGGCTCACTAGACAAATGTGCATCTCCGTGTTTGACGTCTTTATCAGTTTGACTGAAGTGTTTCAGTAAGTTGATATTTTTCATGCAGTCCATTGGACCTCTTAACAGTTTTTGCAAAGAGGTAGTAAATTAATGACCCGCCCACATTCTGTTGACCTCTACAGGGCTATAAATATTTTGCTCTAATGCTCTCTGCTTTAGCTTCTCCATCTTGGGATAAGAGCACCCAGCCTCTAGAACACTGCAGAGTACCCCAAGAATAGAAATAACTGAGTAGTGAAGCAGGTGATCATGACCAGGAAGATGGCTTAGACTCTGTCCTCTTTGTGCTGAGTTCTGGAGGCCGACAGGTCTGAATTTGGATTCTAACTGTGTTACTAGCTGTGTGACTCTAAACAAGTCATTTAACCTCTTTGAATCTTGGTAAAGTGGGCATTCTCTGCAAAGGATTAGAATTCATAGAGGTAAAGTACCTTCTATACAGTGTACACCCTCTGGGAAGCATTATTTTTGCTTTTACTGTCCTCACTACTACTAGTACTACTACTACTGCTGCTGCTGCTGCTGCTCCTACTACTACAAGAGACTTTTATCATCTCTGAATAGTGCTGGGAAGTAGCACTAGACATAGAGCTGAGACCAGGACCCAGAGTCCAGGTTAGGGTAAGAAAAGTGACAGGCAGAGCCAGGTAGGGGAAGGTCTGCCATGGTGACCCAGAGGAAGTGACTCAGCAGCCAGTATGGAGAAGATTGGTACTTCATGGTGAAGCGAGTCTGAGATTCCAGACCTGGAACCGTTCCTGATGTTGTCTCTGAGCTCTGGGCCTAGAACACATTTCTAGCTAAAGGATTCACATGTCTGTCTCCCAGGGCATCTCAACTCCTCTCTGCTATTTTGGGACTCTGGGAAAAGACTTACCCTAAAGTCTTTAAGGACACTAGTACCAACAGCACTGAGTAGAAAGGTAACTGAGCAGTTCTGAGATGATTTACTCTTAAAACCCAGAGACAGTGGGCAGATAGGACTGATCCCTGTTAACCAGTCTTTGCCAGATAAATCAGTAACCGTTAATACCCATAGATTTTGTTTTTAAAGAGATTTCTCTAGACCAGGCCTTCATCATCTCTGAAAAAATGGAAAAAACAAACTGAGTATGCTCTCACCTTGAGAAGTGTCTATAAACAGTTCTCTAAACAAGCACAGCTAATTTCCCACCTCCCATTTTTGCCCCTGGGTCCTCCCATCTCATCTCTCTGTCCAGTCACTCTCACCTTTCCTAGGTTTGGGAGACAAAGCAATTCACTCACTCTCCCAACCATGTAGTAGACCAGGATCACGGCTTCCAGCCCAGAACCGTGCCATGAAGGAGCCAAGAGCTGAGTGAGCAATGGATGTCTCTTCTCCCCAGCCCTGACCTGTTCAGGATCTGGGAATGGATGGGAGAGTGAGCATCTGCTCAGAGCGCCTGGAGGACAGCACACCTGACTTGGATCTCAGCCACATTGTGTCCTGGTCATGGAAACTTGGGCAAGTGGTAACTTCTCCTATACTCAGTGTACAGACCATTCATCTATGAAATGAAGGCAGTAACACTCCCTCAAAAGATTATTTTGGGAATTAGAGATTAGACATAAAAAGCACCTGGCACATACTAGGCACTTAATAAACCATAGCCACTTTTATTATTCTTGTCTTCCTTCTTTTCATAAGGACTAGATAAGAAAATCCACTTGAAATTCTAGCACCCATTTCACCAGATTCTCAGGTGTGTACAACTGGGAAGGAGGAGAAGGGTTGGGCTCATGAGCATGGACTCTCCTCTGTTCCTGTGGTCTGGATAGGGGAATAGACAGGTTCTTTGCTTTTCAACTCTATTCTCGGAGGGCAGCCTCGGAGTGATGGACAAGTTAGAATTGAAATCGTTCAAATGTCACTTTTCAGCAACTTAACTTTAAAAACGTCTTTTAAGGGGGAAGTTAAAGCAGGTGGCTGATTTTCCATAATCATTATTAACATTTGGTTATAGACATCATTTCTCTGGCACTCCCAATGTTCCCTCACCCTCCCACACCCACCCCACGCCATGGAGAACCAGGAGTTGGGCTTGAACACCATGTTCTGCCTCCACCTGCAGTTCACAGGTGATACCTGTTTGTGGGACAAACAGAGGAGTCCAGTTTCCAAGGCTGTCAATCTGGAAACCAATCCATTTTCTAAAAAGATTGGAAACGGCGTCTCAACAACTTGCAGTTAGGCATGAAGGCCTTGGCCTCCAGAGAGGCTCTCACATTACAAAACTTGATAGAAACCACTTGCGTGGGGGCTTAGAGAGACAAGGCCCAGGTCACTTTGTTCCTGCTACGGGAATCTGGATGGGAGGCAGAGCTGTCTCCAGATGCAACCTCAGATACCACCCCAGTCAGCAAGCTGGCCAAGCAGCATGGGCTGTTTCTCCCAAACCAGCCACCTCCCTCTGCCCTAACTCTCCACCCCATCTCTGTTTTCAATCACCACATTAAAAATCAAGCTCAGCTCTTTTGCTGGGTTATTTGGAGTTGATCCAGGTGGAATAGCACACTTTGCATGCAAAAGAAGAGAAGATGGTAGAAAGGAGTTAGG